AGGATTGAACTCAGGCCCTTGTGCTTGCCAGGCAAGCGTTTATTCTATTGAGCCATCTCCCCGGCCCCTAAATTGGGTCTCTTAAAATCCTGTCCAATAATCTTTGTAATTTACTATTTTCAGAGTCAAGGATATTTGCGTTTCTTCCAAAAAGATAATCTAGAACATTCTCAGTTACTCTTAGTACCAAGAAGAATGGAATAAAAGGGGACAGAGGGAGGGGAAAAGGAGGAGAGGGAAGGAAGGAAAAAATAAAAGATGGACCGAAGGAAGGAGAAAGGAGATTCTTGTATGGTCAGCAACTCTCAAAAATGTTGAAAGACATTTAACATGAGATAAACATGTGTATTACGACCTCTAAAATAAGCCATTGTATGAGCAATATTAGAAGACTTTCAGCGAGCAACTCTTATAAGAAAGTTATTATGAAAGTGTGACTAGCTTATTGTGGCTATTAAAATAGCTTCCAAGCTGATCAAAAGAAAGCATTTTCCCTATGGTTATATTTGAATATTGCAGGAGGCATTTGTTTCTTTTTCTCCAGTGCTCTTTGGCACAACTTCTGTGAGACATTGCTTAAATATGGAAACAGAAAGCAAGAGGAATCATTTGAATATTTCCCAACCATCCTTACCTTTTGTAAATAGATTATTTTATTGCTTCATTTTTTCCCAATACTTGTGTGGTTTGGAAACTAAGTATGAGGAAATTTACAGTTTCTTCCATGTTTCAAGGTTAATAATGACAATAGTATATTAGGTAAAGAAGGAAGCTCAGAATAGGTTTTTTTTTTCCTTTAAATCTTACAAATATATCAACAGCATAGAACTTGGGAATTGAGGACAGTAATTTTTGTGACATAAGTGCATTGCTGAGTTGTCTAATACAGGATTCTATAGCCCTCAGACACAAATTGTTGTTTTAGCTCTATTGTTTTTGTATTCCTTCCAAGTTTTTTATTTTATGAGCAGAATATTTATCAGGGAGAAAGAAAGCTTCTGTCTGAGAGAGGGACAGAAGAGGGGCCTGAAGCAGGTGGTGCCCCCTTCCAGCTTTTAGCTAGTAAATACTATTTATCTTTCTAATGGTGTTCTTTCTTTCAGAATTATATATATAATATATTTATTTATTATAATATAATATAATATATATATATGTATATTTACTCTTTTGAGAATTTATTGATGGAGTCAGTTTGGTAATAAAAAAATTTGCTTTGCTCAATTTATTTTCTGTACAAATATACATTGAATTTTTATGCAATCTTTCCCTATCTTCTCCGTCTCTATGAACTATCCTTTTCTTTTCTTGGCTCCTACTATCTTTCAGATACATCAGATGTAGCTAATCTAATGAATGCTAAGGCAAACTGCAAGGTATCATAATTTGCCTACTTCCTGTATTCCAGGTCACACATTTCACTTGGCTTTCAAACTATTCTACCTAGCTGTAATCAGTTAACAACTTTTATTCTTCCTTCCAACAAGGGCAATTAATAAGGCTGTAGCTTGGCACCATCAAAACAAATTATTAGGTATCTTCCTGAAGGAACTCATTAAAAAGCCAATCATTCACAGGTAAATGCCGACATCAAACACTCTGAAATTCATACATGATGAGGTGTCCTGGGTGCTGCCGAAATCATTCTCATGAGAGTTCAAGGGGGAAATATGAGAACAAAAGATGTTTTCACTGCACTTTATGACCCAATGCAGTGGTGCATACACATGATCCCAACACTCAGGCGACTGGAGAAACAGGATTGCTCTAAATTCAAGGTCAAACTTCAAGACCAGCCGGAATTACATAGTGAGACAGAATTACAAACAATGACATGTTTTATCAACCAATGACATTCTACTAAAGCATCTTGTTCAGACTAAAGTTGTATTACAGATATCCCCAGGGAATCTAAAATACATTGCCTCAAAACAGAAAAATATAGATGATCTTATATCTGAATTATCAAAATTAAAACATTTAAGTGGCCAACCAAGAGTACAGTTACATGCTCAGCCCCCAAATTTTATGCTTCCACAGGAATAAAGAGCAATAAACTTTACCTATGAAGCTTCAGGGTGACAGTTCCATAGACAGTGGCAAAACCAAGAAGGCGGACCCATCTTAGAAGAATACAGCGAAATGTACTTGGCTCAAAGTACAAAATAACAACCTGTGGGATAAGAACAGAAAGAAAGAGAACTTTAACATCAACTGATGACCCAGACTACAGTTAATACCTCATAAACTGGTATTTTAAACATGTGAATTTTGATCTAAGCATATACTCATTCAAATAATTCTTTAAAATTTATAGTGATTGCTCATTTTTTAGATGGAAGAATTACAGAGGTTCCCTACTGCTTTCAAATAAAATATAAATTGTTTAATTCTAACCTTGAGGAGCTTCTATTAGCTGTTTCTGTCTTTAGTATGCACAAACTTACTGCTCCTTACTTCACTTTGTAGGCCACCCAGGCTACTGCTCCCCACTGCTTATTCCCACCTGCATGTGTAGCCTTACCTTTCCCATCTGAGAACCCTAACAAGATAACCTCTTTCTTACTGGATACCCCAAACAATCGACCATTCCATTCTTATCATTTAAGTAACTATATGGATTCAGTAGCTCACTCACTTCATTTTTCACTCCAGAGTCTTCATTCAACAAACAGTAAATAACATTTTCATGTTGTATGCAATGAAGACACAACAGCTGATAAAAACAGCAAGAGAGACATGTAACCCAGAGACTACATTAAAATAATACAGGTACTGACAAATATTGATGCAGTTTTGGTGAGCTCACAAAGGAACAAGTGAGCAGTTGTAAGAAACACAGTCAAAAGTTGCATGCAAGCCACTCAGCTTCCTTTCATATGCTACTGTGTTTGTTTTTACCAAACAGTTGTAAAATAAGAACTGGTTTACTATGCCTAAGGAACTTCATAGTACTACAGGATGATAGCAAAAAGTATGCCTAAAATCTTCTGCGGGAGTAGTAACTTTGAACTGATTCTGCTGAAATCAAGACCATCTTAACAGAAAATACACCCTCTTCTCTGGGTGATACTTTTGGGTACTGCTAGTGGCCATGATGCATGGGCTAAGATTTTATAAGTGGTGCCCCTGTATCCTCCAGCATCAACAGTGGCATTACTTATAATTCTTTATGTTTCACAAATATTTCTATTGTATAAAGACATTAAATTAGAATTATATTTTAGGGCTGGCCGGATAGCTCAGTGGACTAAAGGGCCTGCTTAGGCAAGCTCAGTGGCTGGGGTTTGATCCTTGGTGTGCTCTGCTGGCCCCGCCCATAGAGCATGCTAAAATGGTGATTGAGACCAGAGGTGGTGGTGCCCACCTGTAATACCAGTGCTTGTGAGGCTGAAAACAGGAGAATCACTACGAGATTGAACTACGTAGTGAGACCCTGTAGACCCTGTACCAAATACACAAAAAAGAATTATATTTTAAAGGAATAGAGAAGTCACTTGACAAAGTCTAAAGGAGAAATTTAAAAAATGGAAAATAGGAATGAACAGAAGACAGTTTTACCTAGTGCGCTTTTAAAATTAAGTTTAAAAAAATGAACTTTATTCTTTCACTTATACATAGCATTTGCCCATAGCTTTCTAGCTGTCTATGTAAGTATGACATAGATAATTGAGAATTATATATATAATTTTCATAAAATAGGTTAAACTTATGCAAATTTATCTTCTAGGTTTTAGCTTATATATTTAGATACATTTCTTTTGTATAAGAGTCCAATAGTAATTATAAGTCCTACAAAACAAGCTTGATTGTTTATTAAGGAACTTAAGTTGAATAAAGAAGGGAAAACTTAGGGGTAAAAAAAGAGAGAACTCTTGATATGTGACTAAGGGATTTGGAGAGTCTGTATTCATTGTCACACTAGACAGCTATGACATAATAGTAACTAGAGGAATAAAAAAAGTCTAGAACACATACCATATCAAATATGTTCAGTAGAAATATCTTTATGACCTGTTTTGAAGCTTGGTTTCATGATTTTTTTTTCTCTTTAAAATAAAAAATGAAAAAAGAAATGATTTTATCAATTATTCTGCAACTGTGGATCCAGAGGGTTGTAAAATCCTGTATTATTTTAAAGTTTCCCATTACATATTAAGCAATCCTTGAGGGACAAATAAACATAGATGAACAACTTTATTACAGAAGTCTATAATTTCCTATTTAAAATAATGAATTACTCTTGAAGTGTCTGGAAACTATTGATAAAACCTTCAAACTTTATTTCATAGATAAAGAATTTGAGGATTTTGAACCTGTAAGGGAAGACTGAGTTTTTCAGAAATAAATAAAAGAATAGTAGAATCTTTTAGCACCTATGGGTAAGGTGTTAACAAATAAAATAACTTTAAAAAATAAAATAAGATAAAATTTAGTGAATTGAATCAAATGTATTGGTAGAAACAGCTCTGCAGATAGAGAGCTAGAAATTCTACTTGGTTGAATCAGAGGCAATACACATGGTAGTGGACAGTCCTTGCCCTGAGTCTGGTTCCCCTGGGTCCTAGTTCTGGTTCTATTCTGTATTTGTTGTGTGACTGGCAAGTTAACTAACATTGTCCTGAGATGCCTCTGATGTTTCATTTGTAAAATAGATGAAACAAAGATACTGGTTCCTAGGACTATTTTGAAGATTAATGTAATAGTTTGGCACAATTCATCAAAAACAGGACCTGGTATAGTGAGTATTAAATAAGTACTGGATAATTATTAGGAGAGTTGATTTATGTGTTCTTTGTTCTAAAAGTTAGCATTTTCATTGCAGTGTAATTATATGCTATTATTTCAATGAATTATTTTCCGATCACTTCAGTCATTCTTTCTTTTAAATCCCTATAATCACTCTTTTGGTGTATATTTTCTACCATATCTTATAGTTTTTTTGTATGGTTGTATCTGTGACTCAAATTTAAAAGTAGAAAGGACCATGATTTTCTATATATTTCATATGCTTTTCAAAGAAAAGAAAAATTTATACTGAATAATACATCTTAGTTAGTTTTTAAATGTTATCTTAAAAATACAACATTAGATGGATTTATCAGGCACCTGAAGAGTTTCAGCAGCATCTCACATAACTTTCTCCCAAAACAGTCATATTTCCAGTCATAGAACAAGCCTGAAAGAACAGCAAGCAACTTGTGAAATGATCTCATGCATCCTGTCAGAATGGAGCAGAGCTAGCAACCATGGAAACTACACACACGGAGGCTGAATAAAATACTTTTGAATGATTGAAAATTCCTAGAGTGAAACAATAATGGAAACATAACATGTTAGAATCTGTGGAATGCAATGCAAGGTCCTAGAACAACAGAAACAAAAAGCAAAGCTAAAGCCAGTAGAAGGAAATAAGTAATAAGCCTTAGAACAAAGTTAATGAAATAGAGACTAAACAGTACAAAGGAACATGAATGAAAAGTTGCTTCTTCAAAAAGATGAACAAGACTGACAAAGTTGTAGCCAAACTTAACAAAAGAAAGTTAAAAAGCCCTAAATTAATAAAATTAGAAATAATAAAGGCTAAATTTCAATGAGCACCACTGACCAAGAGAACTATTAGAAACTACTTTGAATTTGTATTTGTGTGTGTGTGTGTGTGTGTGTGTGTGTGTGTGTAACCAGGGATTGAACTCAGGCCCTTGCGCTTGCCAGGGAAACACTTATTCTACTGAGCCATCTCCCAGGGCCAGCCATCTCCCCAGCCCTTGAAATCTTACATTGCAATAAGTTGAGAAATCTGGAAGAAAGAGTTAAGTTCTTGAACAAATATGATTTCCCAAATTGAACCTCAAGATAAAAAATGTAAACAATATAAGCAATGAAATTAAAACAGTAATAAAAACCCTCCTAACTGAATAAATCCAAGGATGCTGTATATTTTCAGCTGAATTTTATCAGAATTTAAAAAAGAATTAAAATCAATGGTCCTGGGGGCCGGGGAGATGGCTCAATAGAATAAGCAATTCTCTGGCAAGCACAAGGGCCTGAGTTCAATCCCCGGTTCCGCCAAAAAAATAAAATAAAATAAAATATAAAATAAAACCAATGGTCTTCAGACTTTTCCATGAAATAAAAAGGGAAGGAATGTTTCCAAATTCATTCTATAAAGCCAGTAGAACTCTCACACTAAAACCAGGTAAGAACTCAACAACAAAAAGAAAGCTATTTATACCAATATCTTTCAAGGAAGTGGATGCAAAATTCCTCAATAAGATTCTTGCAAACAGAATTTAGCAGCACAATAAGATATCATATACCATAATCAAGTTGGTTTCATTCTAGGAATATAAGATTGACTCCACATATGGAAGTCAGGTAACATAACACACCATGTAAGTAAAACAAAAGCTAAAAAACCAGTCATCACAATCAAAGCCAAAAAAGCCACTGAACAATTCAACTTTCCTTTATGATTAAAAAAAAATCCATGAAGAAAATAAGTATAGAAAGACCTTTCCTCAAACTGATAAAAACTATATATGAAAGACCCATAATCAACATCGTACTAAGCCTCAGTGAGTTGGGGAAGGATTGTTTAGCTTGAAATGAAACAGAAAAAAGAAAACAATCCATGAATCTGAGGAAAATTATGACCTATGACAACTTAGCTGTCTAGTGGCTCCAAACTCAAACTTTCCATCCCTCAAACTGCAAAGTTTGAAATAAATCTGCTTAGTGATTGCAACTTTGGTCGATAGGCAAACTGAAAATCCAACTTGAAAAATACCTGTACTGGTCTACAGAGCCTCAGGCAGACACAAAGGGGCAAAGCGCTGATTTCACTCACACAATATACATGCTTGTGCAGTTTGGGGACCTAGAACCAATTCTTTGGGTTTCTATTATTTCTTATGGGAAAAACATGGTCAGTTCTTGAACTTTTTGTTGTTCTAATGTAAACTGAGAATGAATTGAACTTGACAGCCGAGGTATCACTGTATTTCTAGCGAAAAGCTTTTCTGCCTTGTCCTTGTGTTAGGAGCTGGTGTCTGGAGACTAAGTGAGGTTTCTAGCTTATTTTTATGTTACTTTCTGCCAGTGAACACTACACTCATCAACTCTATTTTGAAATAATTTCTGCAATTCATTTATTCAGTGTAGTCTCCCAGC